AGTAACAAGTGGTTTACTGACTCAATTTTGTTGACGGTTGCGTTTTTTCTTTTTTAAATGAAAAATAAGATTTTGCGGATTTGACAACATAATAATATATTCACATTATTAGACAATATTATAAAGCAGTAAATTGTAACATACTCACATTATTAGATTATATTATAAAGTAAATTAGATTCTCCGTATATTTGAAGGAATATTTTTTTCCAAAAAAATTTTTACTGATAAAAGATTTTCTTTTGCAGAATAGTTATATAAATGAATTTTTAGCTATTAGATTTGTTTGATTCGGAGGATCCACGAGAAAGGGACTTCTTGAAGACCGTTTTGCATCGTATTTATGGCAAATTTCTTGGCCTACGAGCCTTCATAAGGAAGCAGATCAACAATATGTTCTTGTCGTAAGTCGTATGCAAATATTTTTTAAGTCATTGCTTTTGACAACTATTTTATCCGATAATACTGTAAAGTTGTTGCGTTCCAAATCTTCTAACAGAAAATATTGAATAATGAGAGATTTTCACTCTTTTGTAACTTCACATACTGTTTCAATTTATAACTTTCCAGAATTCAATTTACGTTATCATTCATCGTTTTCTATTTCAGTTTTGTTTTCGAAACCGATTCATTCAACGGTGTTGGTGAATTACTCGAAATCCTAGGAAGGTAAAATATCATTCGCTTATATCTAATTTTTACCAAAGACATTCAGATTGACATTTTTTTATACAGTTATTTTTTCTTTTTTTTAGATCATTCTTTCAAGTTTAAATTTGATAAATTTATTGAAAACACGACACTTTGTAAACTATTTATGTTATTGCAGTATTATAAATGGTTTTGCTCTACCATTAAAACAAGAACATAAAGTATTTCTTGTGAAGGTGCTTCTCCCTCTACACAAACCGCGCTGTTTAAGTCTCTACCATGCGCAGGTTAGTGGTGGTTTCTGTTCCGAATGTTAAACACTTCCGTCGTATTATGCTTGATCAATTTGCGTATTCACAAATATGATTGTCATTATATTATATTGAAAATTTATCGATTTTATAGAGGAATACAGATTATTGGATACAAATAATGTAATAAAATTTCTAGCTTGCTTATTGCGTGGTGCAGTTCATTGAAAAGGATTCAACATTGACACCACAAGTCTTTGATGCCCTGCTCAAGTTTTGGCCGAGAACCTGCAGTGCAAAAGAAGTACGTTTCTGTTTTGGAAGTTTTATTCGTATGAGCTGAAATTATTTGTAATTGGAGAAAAAGTGTTTCTATGTTTTTAGGTGATGTTCTTGGGTGAAGTCGAAGAAATTCTCGATATTATTGAGCCGGAACAATTCAAAAAAATTATTGAACCGTTATTCAAACAACTTGCGAAATGTGTTTCTAGCCCACATTTCCAAGTAATATTATCTATTATTTAGTATTTATGGCTCTATCACTTTGATGTTTGTGAAATTATCTTCTTATTGGAAGCGCATTTTTAGGTAGCGGAAAGAGCACTTTATTTTTGGAATAACGAGTACATCCTTTCCCTCATCGAAGAAAACAGCAGTCAAGTGAGCCTTTTTAGAATTTTTAATTCTTGAGTATCTTTTAATGGTTTTTCTGTTTTTGTATTACATTTTCCTTTAATTGAGGAATATTCCCTCATTTTCTTATTTCGTACATTACTGTGTTTTTTAATCGTATATTCCAAAATATTAAGAGATTTTAGAAGTATCTTCCTGTCTGTTATATATCAGTCTTTGTAAATCTGAAAGTTTGTATTTTTTGTTATCAAAGCATGTTCGTAGTTATTTGTTTCTCATGAAAGTACAGGTAATGCCGGTAATGTTTCCTGCATTATATCGGATAAGCAAGGAACACTGGAATCAAACAATTGTGGCTCTTGTTTATAATGTTCTCAAAACGTTTATGGAAATGAACGGAAAACTTTTTGATGAACTGACTGCAAATTATAAACTCGAAAGGCAAAAGTTAGTTATTTTTGATGAATGACATTTTATACAATGTTATGCAGCGCACATATCTGATAGTCGTTTCATCTTAGGATTTTATACTAAATTTTATGTATTAAAGCTATTAGTGTTTTCATTATTCGTAATTTTAGAGAGAAGAGAAAAGAAAAGGAACGTGAAGATTTATGGAAGCGTTTAGCAGCAGTGGAGCTTAATCCTCCTAATGATAGAGATCCACATATACTGAGCAAGACACCTCTAACAAATTTCACTATTAAACGGGAAATATCTGCTGGATATGGGCTAATTGTCCCCACAAACTCTGTCGGAGACAAGTCGCCAAATTTTAGTAAAAGGTGATTAAGCTTTCATGGTTGGAGTTAAATTGCTGTCACATTTCATCTTGACGCATTATTCTAATTGCACATTTGATGACGTACAACTATTTCGACATTAAGACTTTGGTAATAACGGTTTCTGTAATACAAACATCATCTGGTGATATTAGTAGTACTTTTTACTTTTCTCTTTTTTGACAAAAAATAAAAGAATTTTTTTTTTCAATATGGCAAGCTTATATTATGCAAATAACTTCCTCATCACGATTTTATTTATGGAATTTCAGGTCAAGTATTGGAACGAACAGCACTTCCATCAAAAAGTGATAATCGCCTTATATGATTGCTATCTTATGACTAATTAAACATATGGCTTGATTGCATACGTATAATCTTTGTTGGGTGAATTGTGCTGTATCATTAAATTTTGATAGCAACCGTGTTTTCTTCAGAGTCTGAATTGATCTTGTACATCTTTGTGGTCGTGGAAAATGTTCTTCAAGATTCTTGTCTTTCCTCTTCTTGAAAGAAACAGAAATGTTTTAGAACTTTCTTTAGGTATAATCGTGTCTTCACACTTATCGCTGAAATCCGTGCAGGTTCGAATCAAAAATTTTTGCACCTATATATTACTTTTCTTCAAACATTTTAATTTATCTATACTTGTGGGAATCACTTTCATAATTTTACAATTTTCAGTTTTGAATCTCTGATTCCATTCTTACTTTCCAGCTTGTTACAGTTTGATTTTCTATTCAAATTCATTTTTATGCTATTAGTAGCAGAGATAATACGACATTGCTGAAATGTGTAAGAACTTATTTTTAAGACAAGCCCCCCCGGTGTTATAGGGATGTGTCTGAAATTTTAGCCTCAGCTCATCGGAATGACTTAATGCAATGTATTATGAGTGGTTTCAACAAAGCTTGTAAAGAAGTACATCTGTTCCTAGCCCCTTATCTGAAAATTGGCTTTGAAATTCAAATTCCGCTTTTTTGTTTCCCATTTCTTCGTCAGTTCTGAAAGCTTATTTTCTACTCGCTAGCGAGTTATATATTTTTAGAACAACAGCGCCTACCATATCCTTCCATATTCGTAAATTATCTATTTCGTGTTTTATTTATTTTGACTATTCTCCTTTGTACTTGATCATCGTGAACTATCTTAGTCTCTTTCTAGTTTCACTTGTGTAAAATTATAAACACTTTCTGGCGTTTCATACTTACTGTTTGTATATGATAATGGCGTCGTAATTTTTTTCGGAACAATGAATTTGTTTTGCTAACAGTTCAGAACTTTTTACTAAGAAGATTTCTTGCGCGACAGTTCTATCAATGAATGTAGGAGGAGTCAGTCGATCTGTGGACTTCAGACCATACAGATTTAGCAGAAAAATATTTGTTGAAAATTAAATGCATTCAAGGAAACTTATAATGCTACGAAACATGTGAAGCAAAAACAGCTCTAAAAATTAAATACCCGTGATTGCCGCCACGAAGTGGAGGAATATTCTGCATTTTCAAAGCAGCTTTAGTGATCTTCAAAAAAAAAAAACACTTTAAGGAAATTCTTGGAACATTAACAAATGACAATACCATGTCACAACAATTCCAGAATTGATAATCATAAAATTCAATGTTGAAAATACACCATCAAACAATTCACCGGCTTGAATTCCAAATTTACAAAGGTGAAAATATGATGAATCAAATAACCCGTAATGTGTGACGAGAGCGAAACAACCAGCGAATAAGTTAAACTTACAAAGACAAAAAGTGATAAAGACGCTGAACTCTGGCTAGTTAACGGACTGCCAGAGCATCTGGAAAAAACAAACATCTAGCAAAAACTGTCGATATTTAAACTGTTCACATTACTGGCAGTTGTCAAATCTAAAGATTAGTCTTATTGTCTGGTGTCACACCAACAAAAAATAATTTTTGACTACTTTTTGGGTCTTCACATGACTTCAAAGCATTGAAACAAATTCAAATGCTGAAAATAAATTCGCATATTCGTCCGACCATGTACATAAATGAAAAGAATATATTGTATCCCTGACATAAATATTAGCAGTAATGAACTCATAAAATCACAAAAAGTCATTTACATCAAAAATGTTACATTCATGAGGTTGTATATCGCTTTTTTTTCTCGACAAAATACAAAGATGGACAAGCGTCTATTTCATGAAATGGTTTCATAAATTTGATGAAGACATTAATTGCAACTTTTAGAAGATCAGTTGCCGCCAGTAGATTACGCTAATGGACGCGTGCAATATCTGTAACTAGCATCTGAAGCTTATTGAAAAAAACCAACAATATGAAGTATAGTTAATCCTTTCAAATCTTATGTAACCCCTTCTAACAGACTATTTATAGCTCAAAATAATTTCTGAAAGTCTGTGAAAACTTAAGCGCTGTTTCCATCAAATACTTAGATTCAAACATTAAACAACATTAATCAACCTAGAGATTTTTTTGAAACAATTAATACTTGAAAGAAACCAAAAGAAATTGATATTTGAAGAGTGCAAAGAGAGACCCACAAGATGTTCATTTTTGAAGACAAAAATTGACATTTCCTTGGAAAAAATGCAAACAAACTGCAAACATCAAAGCATGTATGTATAAGAACAAAAACAACAACAAATAACAGCATTAAGATTATAAATAGTAATAATAACAGTGAGAAGCTAAAATTGGCTGCTACTATCATTATCGATTTTATCATTATCAATGAATGAACTAGATGGTGAAGAATGTATTTTCATAACGAAATCAGACGAAACAGAGGGGCGACCATTCGAAAGGTGGGCATTGGAAGATGGTATACAACAAACTGGGGGTGCCGACATCGCACGACATTTTTGGAGGTTAGCGGAAGAAGACGAAGATGACACTGCTGCACTTTTTGAATGATTCATTTTGAACGTATTTATCTCATTCAATGTTAGCTCCAGTTTCTGCTCGTAAAATGCCCGAATGTCTTCTATTGCGTTCTTTATTGTTTCCTGGAACTGATTAGTTTTTCTCCTTAAGACGGATGACAGAAACTAAATAGCTTAGTAAAGCGCAAAAAAGATCCACAGTGTTTTCCAATGTTACATACAATCCCACCAAGACTATTCGATCAGAGTGGATAAAATACTAGCTCCCTAAGAAAAAACTTGAAGAGCTGGTAGATCATGTTGTCACTAATTCAACACAGCAATTGATTTTCACAATATTTATAATCACTTTGCTGATGTTGAAACAAAAGTGAATCCATTAAAAAACTTTGCTCACATGCACCATGGATGTATGCATCTGTTGTCTTCAAATTCATAACATTTTTTGGGAACATATTTTTTTCTAAACTGAATGTAACATTTTTAATTCTTCAATTAGTAATACAAAAGAAATAAAAACTTTTATAAAAAATGCCATTAATTTTAACCACCGCCACAAGAAAAAACAATTCTCAAAGATGTGGATGGTGCATACAAACATTTTTTAAAGGACATATAAAATCAACAATGCAAGAATTATGTAATAATTTGTACGTATGCACCTTAAAATGGACATAACATGCTATTTTTACATATAAATTTCATTACTTTTGCAGTACCACGCAAAACAAAACTGAAACTAGAGTCAGCATAAAAACCTTATGTCCAATTTTGGAAGACTCGAAAGAAATGGTAAGGAGCATCAGTAAATAATGTCCATATATCTAGCGCTAAATTTGGTATTTGAAAGCAAACAACCATCCTAATTTTAGAGAAAAACTGTTCGGAATTCACATGAAATAATTCCCTCCTAAAAATCCTATCTGAATGAAAATGCTCACGGCATCGAGTGCACGGCGTATTTCGGGTTCAGCAAGTTTTACTTTCCGTTCCAATTCAGCTTTTTCTGCAAGATGACGCTTTTTCCACTCATCATTATTCTTTCTTTCTGCTGCTGCCATTGCATCCTTAATCTCAATTCGTTTTTCCAGGTCTGCCTTTTCCTACATTGAGATTGCTGTTTAAAATAAGATATATAAATGAAGTATGAAATGAAATCCTTTGCTAAAAATACCAAAACTAACTAAGTGGATACACTTAGTTAATTTTGGTATTTTGGATACACAACCCGATAAATAATTACCAGCACAAAAAGAAAACTCGAAAAAAAAAGAACAGGAGGCTTAAAATTGCATACAACCTACCTTCTTCCATATTCGTTCTTTTTCTTCATAGCTTCTCAACTGCGCCATCATTTTTCTAAAAAATAAATTCAAGAGTCACAACTTTCTATAGCTGTGAATCTGATGATATAAAACTGGACTAGAAATATAACAGTCCCTCACCAGGCTTAATTAATGAAAATTACCTGCCCTCTTCAACTCTTTGCCTTAGCTCACCCTGCAATCCTTCGAATCGTGGTCGAATTTCAGCCAGTTCCTTTGTCGATTCATCACGCCTAAAAACTGACGCATTAATTTTTGTTATAAAATGTTTATATTTAGTTCGATTTTCTCATAATAAAATATGATCCAGCGTAAAAATGGTCTAGGATTTGAAATGAAATGAAATGAAAATGAAATATTCATTTCATCGCAGATCTCTTATCAGATGATCATTTTGGTTTTATGATTATACAATATATATGCCTTTTACTATGCATTCTTAACATATCTAATAGATACTATTATAATTATGATGCTATTGCAGATTTGTTCCCCAAAATTAAGCACAAAAAATCCTTTTTAAAAATGACAAGGAACATACCTGTTAAGAAAAGCCTTATTCTCTTCACACAGCTCTTCGCATTTCTTCACAAGTTTCATATTCCTTTCATTCAAAAACTTATTCTGCTCCTTGCATGATATGATAGTTTTCTCACTATTTTCTGCATCTCTTCGGCGCCGATCACATTCTACTCTCAAACCACCACATGTTTTTTGCAAATCTTCCACTGCACGCTCAAGTGTCTTCATCACCTAAAAATAAATTGGGTTTATGTCATTAGAATTATAACTGTCCGGTCATATGATTTATATCAAAACATGTCTAACATCGTGTTGACCAAAAAACCTCATAACACCTGATATCATCCGTTAAATGTCATGTGCACTTGATTACTAAACTACTGGCCATTTAGATAACTGAATTTTATAGCTCACCATGCTTTTGAAAAAACTTTTGAATAAATCTAGATCTTCTGTATAATTCACATAAACAGCTCAACTAAACAAAAAAATATATACCGTACAGTAACAACTCTATGAGAGGAAACGACAGCTCAATTAAACAAAAATTACTAAAATGCGCTGAAAGAGAGGAAACCTAAATATACATGTTATGCAGAGAAAACGGCAAATGTGTCTCATTAAAGATTTGGAGCCAAACATAAGATAATATCATTGTTCTGGAAATATTTGTTTTACAAAAAAAAGTCATTTTTATGACCCTACTCTTTTGACTCGATATCTGATTGAATTATTAATATAATGTCAAACAAGAAGATTGGCAGCAATAACTCCATCCCAATATATTAACCTGTAAAATCTCAGAATTTTGTGCTTCCAAACGTAATTTCTCTGCGTTTACATCGAATACAGTTTGCTCAGCTCGTCCACGGGCTAACTGCGCAGCTCTTAGCTCCGATTCCAAGGAGCTTATTCGTTGTTCACTTGCGGACAGCTGACTAATCAAAGTGGCACGCAATTCAAAATCTGACTGCGTCGAGACTCCCGAATTGCTGTATGTAGACCTGTGACACATAATGTCAATACTTATTTCATATTTCAGGCTTTTACCTTCGTTATAAATCCTTTATCTTTTCAATCTCTAGAAATTTATCTTCATATATCATCGCCAAATTTTGACTATTACAAAATAACTCACTGAAAAGCAGGATTCATATACACAACTGGATTCCTCCTCCCAATCGGTGACAGAGAACCTGAGAAAGAGTGACTGCGTGAGCGCCGATGTCTTTTTTTGTGGGTTTTATGATGGTGATGCTTTGAGTGTCCATCATCTCGAGATGGGGAATCACGTTTCTGAAAGGAAAACATGAAAAAATGGAAACTTCACTCAAAAATATCTGAATACGTTCGAAACAAGAATTTAACCTTCCTCCCCTGTATAAAAGAATAAGTGGACCTGAGTGATAATTATTCGTTTGATTTCTCCATAACAATTTTCCTTCAGTGTTTATATATATATATATA